CGGAGCCTGAGCCCCTTCCCCGCGGCGGGCGGGCACCCGGCTCTTCCTTTAGGACCGGTCGTCGGAGGAGTTTGGGGTTCACAGCAGGACTGAGGGGGGCACAGGTGTCCCCTCCCCGCCCTCCGTCCGCGTCCTCCGCCAAGTGGCGCGCTCAGCACAGTGAGCGTGAACTCGACAGTCTCAGTCGCTACAGCGTCGTCGCCCGAAGTCCTGGTTTGCCCTGGGGTCACTCCCGGTGTTGCGCCCTGCGGGTCTGGGCAGGTGTGTGCTGACGTGTGTCCACCCCCCGGGCACCCTCCAGGCTCCGCCCGCTCGAGCCTCCTGCCCACAGCCGCCAGCCCCGTCGGCGTCTCCACCGCCTGCCTTTTCCAGGACGTCGTGCGGCGGATCGAATGTCCACACCGTTAGCGGTTGAGTCGGGGGTCGCCCTTCTGGCGGGCCGGGCACGGCGTCGTGCTGTGTCGGGTGTCCTCGAGGAGGCGACGGACCCACAGAGGGGCCTCTGTGTGGGGTCGTGGGGTGAACCCGACCGCAGCTGGCGCCCTTCGACGTGTTAGCTTTTCTTCCCTGGAGAAAACAGAACAGTGTCCAAAGCCGGGGGCCCTTCGCTTCCTGCGCAGGCGCAGTGAGGGCAGACGGGGCCGCAGCGGCCACCGCGCGCGTCCAGGGCCCGCCCTGCCGATGACCGGGGCGGTGCGGATGGGCGCGCCAGGTGCTCCCACCGCTGGTGGGCAGTGCTGCAGGTGCGGCCTCCTGACGAGGGTTAATTTGTGTCGGAGTTTGCTGCGACAGCCTGCGTGTCGTCATGTCCCTTGGGGGTGACTTGCTGTCCCGGGCTGGCAGAGGAGGCAGGCGGGCGGGAGGCCCCACTGTGTTTCCGGAAGGCCCTGGGCGGTGGCTGCCGCTGGACAGTGACCCGCCAGCAAACACACTGCGGGCGTGACCTGCACAGCAGTGCTGCCCACGGGTGTCTCGTGCTTCCTCCCCGGAGACTAACCATATCCATCGTAGTTGAAGACAAAAATAAAAAATAATAGACACTTATTGAAAGAGTTAGAATAAGGAAAGGAACCCTTCGGCCTCAGCGGCGGGGTGCGGGTGTGGCTTTGGGGGGGTGGCAGAGAAGGCGCCAGTGTGTCTGTGTCCATGGCGACTGCAAAGTCCTCTTGTCAGGACATGAAGGGGCCAAACTAAAACGGCTGCTGCCAAAAGTGAAGCTTACAGCAGGGTCGGCGTCCAGAAGCGGGGACCGTGTCCCTCCAGAGTCTCCCCCCCCATCTCACGTTCCCTCTCGTCCCTGTCACTGCAGGCGGCCCCTTCCCTGGGCGGCAAGCACGCTGACCTGCGTCCCGGGCTGCAATCAGCAGCTCAGTGATGCCTGTGGACAGCACCCCTTTGCCCAGGGACCAGCAGGTCAGTGTCCAGGACAGTGAGTGGCCCAGGTCTCCCCAGGTGGGGGCTGGACGGGGCCGGGCGGGGGGCGGGGGTGGTGGCTCTGGGCACAGGCCGGAGCTGAGGGGCATCAGGTGAAAGGGGAAACTATCCTTCCTCTTGGGGGTCGGCTCAGAGACCCCTGAGTCCGTGAGCCCCTCCACCTCCGCCTGCGTCCTGCCCCTGACTGCCGTCTGCGCCCCACTGCCCTCCACAGCCATGGACAGCGGCCCCACGCGGAGGCCTTTGCCTGGTTTCCGTGACACGCCGTGATGGGGCGAGCGGGATGTTTGGTGACAGCTTCACGAGGTGACAGGAGGGACGACTGTCCGCGTGGTGCTGCCGGCCGCCCCCACGTCTGCGTGGCTTTCCCCGTGTCCTCCGTCCCACAGGGCAGGTCCGCGAAGGCCAGCGGTCTCGCCTCAGAGACCCGCACCCCTCAGGCGCCGTGGTGTCCGCCTGCCCCAGCCGTGGGGACAGGACGCGGGCTGGAACCCCGAGGGCTCGGCCCCCTGTGCTTGCGCTCTGCTTCCCGACCGTGCACCTTGGGGCCCAAAGTTCCGCAGACTCGGTTTTCTCAGCCGCCACATGGCCGTCGCCAGGCCCCCTCACAGTGTGGCCTCGGTGGGACCTGGGGGGGCCCCGGAATCCGGCGCGGTGCCCAGGGCCCTCGGGCGGGAGGGCAGGAGCCCCCAGACACCCGAGGACCGCGACACCAGGCGGGTGTCAGAACCGCAGCCGCCGCTCCGGGGTCGTGGGTGTGTCCGCTGAGCCCGCCCCTGATTGTGTGGGGTGGGTTCAGAGGTTGTCCCCCCGCAGAGAGCGTGCCTAGCGCGGGGGCCTCTGATTGGCAGGGGATGCGCCAGCACCCCTCTGCTCGCTGTGGGAGCCAGCGTCACAAGGGCGAGCACGGGGTGTCCCGCGGGCTGCAGGGGGAGAGGACGCCCCTCCCGGGAGACCGGACCCCCGAGCCCGACCCTGGGCCCCATCTGGAGCTCACCGCGCACCAGGGTGCCGATGCTGCGCCCTCAGGCAGACAGGTCACAGCCCCCCACGCTCGGGTGCTGGCCTCTGTGACGCCACCGTGCGGCCGCGGGCATGCCGGTGACAGCTCCAAGCTCAGTGCTGGGGCGCCGTTCAGGCAAAGGCACTGGGGTCAGAACGCCCCCGGTCCCCGCGCGGAAGCCGCGGTTACTGGGGGGCCGTTTCTGGCCGGGCGCGTGGCCGCTCCTCTGATAGACCCGCTCTGGCTTGTCCACGCGGGCGGAGGGCGCAGGAACTCCCGTCTGTTCACGTGATGCCCGGGCCTGTGGGTGCTCCCGCCGGCCGAGGAAACGCTGAGCCAGACCTTGGACATGGAAGCCAGCTCCTGCGAGAGACGTGGTCGCCGGCTCAGGCCACGCAGGCCGCCTGCGGGCTCTCCCTGCCCGAGGCAGAGCAAGCCCGGTTCCCTGAGCTGTTGAGCTGGGAGGGACGGGGCGCGTGTGCCTGTCCAGGCTGCAGAGGAGTGTGCATCCGCGTGTGTGTCTGTGTGTCTGTGCGTCTGTGCATCTGTGCGCATGCTCTTGTATGTGCCTGTGTCTCTGTGTGTGTCCATGTGTGTGTGTCCATGTGTGTGGCCCTGTGTGTCCATGTGTGTGTTGTGTCCCTGTGCGTCCGTGTGTGTCCATGTGTGTGTCCCTGTGTGTGTCCATGTGTGTCCGTGTGTGTCCCTGTGTGTGTCCCTGTGTGTGTCCCTGTGCGTCCGTGTGTGTCCATGTGTGTGGCCCTGTGTGTGTGTAGAACAGGTTCTCGCTATGCGCACTGTGTTCTTTTCATCTCGTGGACGCATGTCCTCCTTTCGTGTCTGGCATCGTGTGTCCCCTGGAAGCCCTGGAAAAGAGGGGCCTGCAGGGCAGCCTCACCGGGCAGGGACCAGCCTCGCCGAGACGCTGGCGGGGGCCGTGCCTGGACCAGTCTCTCTCCCAGAGTCCGCGAGGCCCATCCCGCAATGAAGCCCAGACACGGCTGGTCCCAGTGAGGAGTGCTGGGGTGTGTGACGGGCTCGCACACAGAGCGAGAACACAGAGCTGTGACCCCTGGATAGAGCCGACCGGCCCGGGTTCATCCGACCAAGGTCACGATGAAATGGGGGGAAATGGGAGGCAAGGTTCTGCCAGGTTCGTTCGTTTTTGCTGTAGCCAGAAGTCCCCACTGCCCACCGCCGAGCGGTATGCAGGTTACCCCGTTATCCTTGTCTGCACTTCGCAGCTCTTGGAAAATCAGACGGCGCTTAGTGTCGACTGTTTTTCATCAAATACAAATGCTTACGAATACACCAGGGCATGAGGGCAGAAATCAATCCCGTCTTCCCAAAATTACTGCGTGCCGAGACGGCCGCTCTAGGGGACCCAGCTCAATATCTCATATTTTACTCTTAGCGATTCCTCGTTTAGCTTCCTAATATCTGGAACATGCTGTGGGGTATTTTCTCTCATTTTCTTTTAAAGCAAAGGATTCCAAGTGCTGGATGACAGGAGGCTAGGCGGCTTGGGACCAGAGGTGGGGGACCAGCATTTAAACGGGGTGCAGGCAGCGCTGGGCAGCTCCAGAGAGGCAGCTGGACAGGGTGCTACTGGTCGCTCGCCTGGCTCCTCAAGCCCGGAGGGGCATGTTTGTCACAGGACGCGGGGTCCTCACCCCCAGAAGAGTGCCGGGCCTGAGTGCTCTCTCGGTCTCAGAGTAGGTAGAGATTTCTCCTCATGAACAGACTGAACCGTTTGTCACAAAGACTCTTGTCCCATCTCCATGGCTGTGTCTCCATCGCTGTCTCCAGCGAGCTGTGCTGCAAGTGATTTGATCCTAATAATTAAAGTATCAAACTGTCCGGCTATAAATTATTTCTAAAAGGAAATTAATGGTTTCAAGGTCATTTCTGTAATAGCAAGTGTGTCACCTGAACCCTGACTGACGTTGCTCTTGAGCGGCACAAGAAGGAGCAGTTTTAGTCACTGGCACCTGCACGTATCCGCCCGTCCTTCCGTCTCGTGCTTATCCAGAACCTGCAGTGCCAGGTGCGGTGGCCGGGGCTGGGATAGGTGGAGATGCTGCTGGTGAGTCACAGGGGCCATGACGTGAAGCCCTCCTCAGGGACGTGCACCTGCTCCGTCTCCTAGCTGCCCCCCTCCTTCCCAGCCGGAGAGGTGCCCGGCGTGGCCTGTCGACAGCGGCACTGTGACCTGTAATCGGTGGCCTGCCCAGCCGGGCACACTGAGGGCCGTGCAGGCACCTCACGTTCAGGCGGTGCTGACCGTGCACTGAGCAGCCTCGGTGGCTGAGGCAGTGAGGGGGAGTCAGGCCCCAGGAGGGCCGGTCGTGGACCCCCAGCCCCAGCCCCCAACATCGATGGCCGCTGGTGGCCGTGGCTCTCCAGAACGCCTGCCTGCTGGCCTGGAGCGGGGCCGCGTAGCTGTCAGGGGGGGCCGTGAAGCTGTCAGGGGGGTCCATGTAGCTGTCGGGGGGCCGTGAAGCTGTCAGGGGGG